CCCTTTGTGTTCAAATATCTTCAACGTATTGTGCATTATCTTTCTTCTAAGGACCGTTAAGACGAAATGTCGCCGGGTTTAAATCGCGTTTGGCCCCTTTTCTGTGGAACCTGTATGCGGTCATCCCAGTGGAAGTGGTCAGCCCACCATGCCCCGTGGGTGATCACTTAATCCTTTACACCTTAACATCAGTATATATTTTCTCCGTATTGTTCTCTATGCATTTCCTAGGGTGCTGACAAAGAGAATTTGTCTAACAGTCAAGAGCTTCTTTAGTTGGTGATCATGCCCTTTATTCTCATGACCTGGATATTTGTTTTAGGGGTGATAGTAACAGAAGAAAATATTTACAAATCACTCGTGGGGTTTAAAGCGTTAATACAGGTTGGACTGTATGTAAAGAGACTTCGAGAACGGCGTGGTGGCATGAACAGTGTGTTCATTATATGCATATTTAACGGGAAAGCGAAATACTGACCTTGCCCCATTCACAGTCGCTACAGTGATCATTTCTGAAAATATCATTATTAACAAATTCAGTTTCGCTGGAAAGTGGAAAAGAAGTGAGACTAATAAATTAATGTTTGAGACCTCGCCATAGCTGGAGATATTGTCGATCATGTTTCACATTTTATTTCCGTGTGTAGTCTTACTTTGTGTTCGATTCTTTGATAAGCTTGGGGTCGTTGACAGCAAACAAGGTAAGCTGTAACGTTACGCATTAGTTTACTAGAAAAATATTTCAAGTAAATTAACCTTTCGATGGCCAAGGGCTACCTGAAGTAATTACAGTGATTTGATAGCTGCTAAATCGATACGCGTTTCAATTTAAAGAATGTCAGTTTTTCAGTCACATGGGAATCCTCCGTTTAAACTGAATATTTATACATTACGTGCCTATTACTGACAGATCTAATCAAGTCTCTCTAAAAAGGTCGCCTCAAAGGCAAAGGGGAATAGGCGACTGTGGAGGAGTTAATTGTCGGCTTATGTGGGCGGCTCAGCGAATTTTGTTACAACGTTCGTCAGTCAGTGACTTGCATGTTCTGGCCATTGTAGAGAGGTTATGAATGAAGTGAGGTATCACGTTAACGGAAAAAAAATGAACTGTGATTTGACTCACTTTTCGTATAATTCTTAGAAGTATGTTGTAGAAAAATAACCAAAAATATTTTTTTCATAGTAAATTAAAAATATCATCATTAGCTTGCGAAACGACCAGATGCAGTTGGCAAAAAGTACTCTTTTTTCCTGCCGGTTCCTTTTTCCAGTAAACGTAATTTTAACTTCTCAGTTTTTGACATTAAGAACGCATTTTAGCGAATTTTTGCCGAAGTGAAAAGGTGTCTTTCTGATTACAAGGCAATCTTGAACCAGACAAAGCGAAGAAGCCCCATTTAAAATACTAGTGGTGGGTACATATTTTTTTTTGTGCGGGTGGAAAGTACATTTTCAGCATTAAGTCCTGTTTCTTTTTTACAGCAGAACCAAAAAACGTTTCTATCAACGAGTAGGTGAATATTTTAGGCCACTGTTGGCGAATTCGCGCGCCAAAAATATCGCGAGCATTTCCCGTTTTGCTGCCACATACTGGAAATGTATAAGTGCATGTGTCATTCCATTTTGTTTTTAGGGACGATTCCGCCGCCACGGGTAGAGTGTAAAGATAT